GGCTTTTTTTTTTATATTTTATTCTAATTAGCCCTCTTATAAATATTTATACTTAATTAGTTTTAAAAAAGAACTATTAAGATTAATTACCCTACCCTATTTTAATCGTCCTTTAATTTTTTTTTCTTAATCTTTTATAAAAAGAAATTATTTTAAATTAGTCCTAATTACTATATATAATTAATTATATTAAGCCTTTTACTTACCCTTTTTCTTTATAGCCGCTTTTTTTACTTTTTTTATTTTTTTTATTAATTTTACTTAGTTCTTATTTTATTTTATTTTAATAATCTTTTAATCCTAACTTTTATTACCTTAGTTCTTTTTAGCTTTTTTTATTAATAATAGTATTTAAAAAGTATAAGTTAGAGTTATATATATAGTTTTTATAATTAGGTTATTATATTAATTAACTTATTATTCCCTTATACTTTTATTAATATTAGTTTTATTTTTATATATATTATAATATTATAAGAGGTTTTAATAAAACTTAACTAGTTTTTAATATTAGCGTTTACTATTTTTTTATATAGTTTAATTATACTTAGAGAGCGTGCGTTTAATAGCTTCTAATTTTAATTAAACTTTTAGTATTTTAATTAAAGTCTTTATAATAGGGCTATTCTTACCCTTAATTAGAGTATTTAAAAAATTACTTTTTTAGTTACTTAGACTAGTTTTATTAAGAGCTAAGCTAAGGTATAGTAGCAATTTAAGTAGTAATACATTTAATAAGAATTATATAATTTAATAAGTTTTAGGGGTATTAATTAGGTATATAAGTTAATTATTAATAATAATATTTAAACGCTAGTTAATAGTTTTTATTAATTTAATTACTTATAAAGTTTAATTAGGGTCGCTACTTATTATAAATCCCTAGGTATTTTTTAGTACTTTTAAGAATTAAAATAATAGGGGCGACTTTTTAAGGGTAATAAGCCCTTACTTAAAGTTTTTATTATTTTTTTTATTTTTTTAAAATATATAGGGTTAATAAAAGTATAATAGCTATAATTACGGGGGTTATAAATTTTTAAATTTTAATTAGTAAATCTAAAACTAAGTAAGTAAAAATTAGATTTTTAGGGAGTTAGTACTTTAGAGGCGTTAGTTATAATATAATTAAAGTTATTTAAATTAGTATAAGGCCTACTTTAGGAATCCTAATTATATATTATTTTTTTAAAAGATTTATTTAAAAGAGGTTTTATTATATTAAAAGAGTAATTACTATTATATTAAAACTCGTAGCTAATTTATTAAATTTAAGCTATATAAAGCTTATTATTAAATAGTTTAAAGTATTTATAAGTTATTTAATACGAGTTATAAGTTAAGTTAAGCTAGTTATATTAAATTACGTTACGAAACTACTTAAGTATATATAAATTATATTTTTATTTACTTAGTTATTATGCTATAAGGATTACGTAAGTACTTATATTAATTAGTTATTAAATATAAAGAAGTATATTAATCTAACTATAAAAAGCTTTTAGTATTTAAATATTATTAATAAATATTTTGTTTTAAATACTTAAGAGCCTATTTCGGATCGTATTAATAAATTATACTATTTTACTAGTTAATAATTATTTTTATAAAGTAGCCTAAATCGTTAATATAAAAAAGAAAGATTACTAAGTATACTAAAGTTCTAATCTTTTATATAATTTTTAAGTTTAAAAGTTTAGGGTAGGGGTTTTATTTAGTTTAAAAGTACTTTTTTATTTTTTTTTAATTATAACTATATTATATATTAAAACGAGGTTTTATATTATAACTTTTATTATAGATCTAATTTTATATTTTCGAATTTAGTTTTTATATAATAAGCGTTTTTAAAAATTATAATAATTAATTAGGACTTTTATTACTTTATAATAGTTCTAACTTATTTAAGTTTTTTAGTTTTTTAAACTTTTAAAAGCTTTGGGGCGCTAATTAAAAAAAAGAAGTGCGTTTTTTATACTAAGCTATTTAAAATAATTAAATTTAAAAAGGGTTAGGATTATTTAAAAAAAGCTAGTTTAATTAAGTACTAGGCTCGGGTAATAGTTAGTATACGCTTTATATTAGTAATTTATATTAAAATTAATAAACTAAGAGCTTTTAGTATTTATAATAGTTTTGGGGTTAGTCTTATTAAAAATAATATATCTATTTAAATCCTATTTTCTTAGTTAGTATTTAGTATTATTTTTAAGGCTTTTTATTATAATTAGACCTTATATTTATACTACGTCTTTTTTATTATTTAGTTTAAAAAAAGAGATAAAAAGTAAGGAAGCTATTATAAATAGCTAGGTTAGTATTTATATAATAAATTAAGAAGTAAAAATTAGGGGAAGTTTAATTAATAATAGTTATAAGGAAGTAATATTTTAAATTTAAAAATATAAAAAAAGGCTAAAAAATATTTAAGTTAAAAACGGTTATTTAATAATAATAGTAGTAATTAAGGAGGGAAAAAAAAAAGTTAAGTAGCTAAGTAAAAAGCTACCTTTTTATATTAATTACGAAGTAGCTTTTATTAATTAAAAAAAAAAGTACTAAATTATAAATAATAAGAAGGCCCCGATCCGTAATTTACTTTTTCCTCTTTTTATATAATAGCTATAATTTAGTATTAATTAACTAAAAAGCTTATAATACTTTTTTTTTTAATACTCTAGGTCTAAGGGGGGGTATATAAAGGCCCTCTCTTAATCCCTTTATTTTTTTTATTTTCTTTTTAAATAATAGTTTTTTAATTATAATTATCCCTTTTTACTTAGTCTCTTTTTTTTTTTTAGTAATATAATTTATTTATTTATTATATTTAATATTTTAATTATTAATAATGCGTATTAAATTATTAAAATTACTTATTATAACATTTAGCTTTAGTAATATTTTTCCTTTATTCTTAAAAAGGCTTATTTTTAAAAAATTTAGGGTTATAAGTTTTAAAAAGTTAATAAAAAGTAGATTATAATAAGTACTACTTTATTTAATCTTTTTAATTCTAATCCTAATTTAACGTTCTTTTTTTTAAAATTTTTAAAATTACTAATTAGTTACCTCTTCTCGGATTAGCTAGAGAGCTTTATACTAAATTCTATATTATAAATCTTTAGTTTAATAAATATACTAAAGGATAAATAGTTTAAAAGTTTTAGTAATTAATTACGAATTAAAACGTTATTAAGAGGTACGTTAGTAAACTAAGTATTATAAGCGGATCGTTTTAAAGAGCTATTAGGTTTTTATTAGTTATAATTATACTAATTACTTTAGCCCTCTATTTTAGTAATTAAGTAAACGAACTTTTATTATTAATTTTTTATTTATTTAGGCTTATAACGTTTAGAATACTATATTTTATAATTATTATACGCGGTTTTTTTAAAAATATATTAATTCTAATATTAAAGAACTAATTAAAAAGATAGTCCCTTATTTTAAATACGTTTTCTTACTAAATTATTTTAATAATTAATACGGTAATTATATATATTTTAAAAGTAAGAAATATTACTTTAAAAAGAGTTAGGGTTAGTAAGATATTAAAAAGTCCGGGGCCGATCCTAAGTAAGGTTATTATTATTATTATATAATAAGTAGTAATAAGGTAGTATTTTTAATCTTAGTTAATATTAAGAAAGTTAAGATTTTAATTTATATAATTTCTAATTAGATTAAAGTTACTAAAGCTAAAAAAGATAAGTACGATTTTATTTTTAAAAATACCTTTTTAACGTATTTTATTAAGGATTACGTATTCGTAATTTATAAAAGTTATTAATATTTAAAAATAAAATAAGTAAAATAAGAGGCTATATAATCTAAGCTAGATTTTAAATAAGCTCGATTAAATAAAGAACTAAGCTTAAATATTTAAAAAAAGGGGTAGGGTTTTTTAATATAATTATATAGTTAATAAGTAAAGTTATTAAGTTTTTAATTATAATAACTAAAAAATAATTCTTTTTTTTTTATTATCCTTTTATATTTTTATTCCGGATCTAGGTAAAGAAATAATTAGAAAATTAGTAAGACTTAGTAATATTTTTATAAAATAAATATTTAATAAATAAAATTCGTAGTTTAAATTAGGGATTAGTAGTAATAAAAAGTAATTTACTTTTTTTAAGAAGTTTTTATTTATAATTAGGTTTACTTAGTAAGTAGCTAAGTATCCTCGTTTTTAGAGTTTATTATATTATTATTATAATCGAGAAGTAAGATTATAGTATTAATTATATTATTTTATAAAAATAAAAAGTTAGCTAAATTAGAAATAAAATTATTATAAAAATTAGCCTCGTTAAGTAATAAGTACAGGCTTTTTAAAAACTTTAAAAACTTTTTAAGTTAATTATTAATATAAGTAACCCCTATAATTAAGTTATTAATAAGCGTTTTTAATTAATATAACGATTTATTTAGAGTAGCTAAGTAAATATAAAAAGGTCCTTATTAATAATAATTAAGTTTTTTAAAAGTTGATATATTAATTTTTTATTAAATATTAAAAATAAGAATTAGATTATCAAGCTATAACTTCGTTAATTAAAGGGAGTACGAAGAGTTAAATTAGTTATAGGTTTAGGCTTAGTATTAAGTAATTTTATTAGTTATAGTTTCTTAGTTATTTATTAAAAAGGTAAAAGCTTATAGTTAAGCTTAGATTTTTTAATCCGTTATATATATATTTTTTTAATTAAGTACTTTTTAAATTACTGTTTTTTTTTTAATTAGGGTTGTTATATAATAATTATAAATAAAATAGAATAGTATATAACTTAATAATATTTTAATAATTATCTTATTTATAAAAAGGGCCGTAGTAAATATAAGCCTAATATTTTTTTTTTTAATTTAATTAAATACGAAGTATATATATAATAGGTTAGTAACTTTTTTTAAAGAGCCCGTTAGTATAAGGGTTATAAGCTAATATAACCTTTTATTAAGTACCGTATTATTAATTAAGCTAAGTAATAGTACTTCTATTTCTTTATCCTCTATTAATAATTAGAGTATTATAGATTTTATAGTAATAAATAATACTTTTTTAAATAAACTTTATAATATTTTTAAATATAGCGTTTATTATAATTTATATTTTTAAGTATTTTATAAACTTATAATACGCTTTAATAACTTTTTATTTATTTATATATTAAATATTTAAGTAAATTTAAAAAAAAGGCTCGTAGATCGGGACTGTAAATATATAGGGGTTATTAAAGCGTTATAATTTAGCTTTTTAATAAGCTTTATAAGTTATAATTAGCTCCTAGGCTTAAGCGTATATTCTTAGTTAGTAATATTATTTTATAAAGCGGAAATAAGTAGCTTTTTATTTTTTATACCCGGACTTATTATATATTTTGTTAATTAGGTTTACTTAGCGGCGCTTATTATTAATTATTTAAATAAATTAAGAACGGGTTTTTATCCCTTATTAAAATAGAAGTTTATTTTATATAATAAATTATATTACCGTTTATTTAAAATATTTAAACTAATTAAAAGGTATATTAACTAGCTTTCTTAATATAAAGAGGAAATAGGTAATTTATTTTAAAAGATCTAATTATTATTCGTTTAGTATTAATAAATCGGTTAGAATATTTATTTCTTATATTTAATTAATAATAATATTATTGCAGTTGTATATTATAATAAAAAAGTTTTTTATAACTTATATTTATAAAACTTATACGTTAATAAAGTTTTTAATATTCCCGTTAAGCTCTATTTTAGTTAGGTTAAATTAGCTAGGGGTTTTTTTTAAAAAGTTATTCGCTATAATATTTTTTTTTATTAATATATTTAATTTTAAAGTTAAAGAGTTTAATTTAGGAGAGCTAGCGCGTTATTATTACTAATAATAGGTTATTTATAGTATTATTAATTTAAGTAACTAGGACCTGGGCGTTAGTTTTTAATAAGAAGTTAATTTCAAATAGATAATTACGAAGATATTTTAGGCTTATTAAAATACCTCGTATTTTAAGCTTATTAAAATTATAATTAAGCTTTAATTTATATTATATCTTACTCTTATATTAAGTAATAATATACTTATTATTAACGATTTAACTAAGTATATTACTCTATTTTTTAATACTAGCGTTTATTATAAAGATAATTTATCTAGCTTTAGTACTATAGCTTAGTAAAACTAAAATAGGGGTTATAATAATTATCTTTTTAAGCGTTTTTATAGCCTTAATTTATAATACTCCCTATTTAAAAAATTAGTTTTTATTAAGTAGGGAGTATAACGGGGCTATTATAAAAGAGAATTATTTAATTTAATAGTAATAAAAGGTAATAATACTAAGAAACGATTTAATTTTTAAGATATTTAAGTATTTTATTTATTTAAGGATTTTAAGGACTTTAGCTTAATTAGGCTATTTCCCCTCTATTTTATAAAAATAACTTATAATAACTATAAATAGTTAGTATTATTATAACTTCGCTTTAAAAATAATATAATTAACTAGCTTAATATTAACTAAGACCTAATTAATATTTTAAAAGCATTTATAAATAAATTACTAAATCCTAAGATAATTAGTTAGGTACTTATTATTATAATAAGATTATGGGCTTTTAATTATAATATTATTAATAAAAGCGCTATAATATTTTAAAATTAAATTATAAAAAATGCGGGTTATAATTTAATAAAACTAAGTTACTAAATTTATTACTTTTTATAAGAAAGTATAATATTTATATAGCCCGAGTAAAGTTAAAAAAGTTATTAAATCGTAGCTCTTTTTATTTAAAGAGATTTAATTATAATTAAAAAAAAAATTTAAAAAAGAAATAAGCTAATTTATAATAAATTCTTTTAAAAACTCGTTAGTATTAAATAGTTATTAAGTATTTTAAAGGGTAATAATATTAACCTTTATTATTAAGTTAATTAGTTAAAAACTACTATTTTTTTTATTATTAAGAACTAGGGGTTTTAATACGTAGTATAGCTTTTTTTAATAATACTTTAAATAATACGTTTTCGGATTATTTTAAAAGCTTTTAATAATAAAGCCTTCGGGATAAGGATACCCTTTACTTATTAAGTTTTATAAAATATAGTTTTAATTAATTATAATAGCGTAATTATGAAGTTAAAACGGCCGTATTTAAAGAAGTCTTATACTAATACTTTTTCTTAATTAAGGAGTATTTACTTAAAAAGATCTTATTTATAAAATAAAAAATAGTCGTAATTCTTAAAAATAGCTTAGAATTAATTATTTATTAATTTAGAGCTTAGTTCTATATTAGAGAACTTAAGTATAATAATATCTCTATAGGGGCCTAATTAGTTTTATAATTTATTTTTAATTTTCTTAAGTTTTTTAAGTTTTTAATAAAGATTATTATTAAGTATTAACTTATTAAAGGGCGTATTATTAACTAACTAGACTTTCTAATCCTTTGTTTTATATATTATATTAGCTTTAATAATATAAAAAATCTTATAAAAAGCTTTTTTAATTATCTTATATAATTTTAATACCTTTCGTTCTAGCTTTTTAATTTATTATATAATATATAATTTCTCTTATTAAGAAGTAAGCGTTTTTATTAAAAAATATAAATCGTCTTAGTTAGTTAATCTATTTAGCCCGTTTTTAATTTTATCTCGAGTAATTACTATTAATTTCTTAATTTATATAATTTAAAATTAGATTATATAGAGCGCGACTATAGTTATAATTTAATTAGCTTAGTTTTAATCTAAAACCGCTATAATATACTTATTTTTTTTTAATTTAAATTCTAAATAGGGGTTATTAAAATTAGTAATATTCCTAGTTATATTACTAATATTTAGCTTTTTAATTTAAAAACTTCCTTTATATATTACTTAAGTTAAAATAAGATATTTTTTATATCCTAAAACCCGTTTATTTTAATTATTCTTATTAAGATCCTTAGCCTCGCGTCCTTAATATAAATTAGAGTAGTAATTATTAACTTATTATATTTAAAAAATAGCTTAATATTTTATATAAATAAGAGACTTAGTAATAATAAATTAAAAATCTTTTATTCGTTTTTAATAAGGAAATAAGTAATTATTTTAAACTTATTAATTTATATATTTATAAAATAAAAACTATTAAAAGTTATTTAGTTAGTTAAATTATATTTAAACGTTTATATTTAAAACTTTATTATTATATAAAAAATACTAGCTTTTTTAATATATTATTTTAAGAGGATATTAACTTATACCCTAGTATTTAAGATCGTAATAATTATTAAACCCTTATTACTTTAATTTATACTAAATATTTAGATTTTTAATTATAAATAAGCGTTTAAAATTATAAAAATTAAAATTTTAAAAATTAAATTAGCGCCTCTAATTTTATTAATCTTAGTTATATAGCTCGGCTTTAAAAAGAGGTTCTTATTATATTTATTAAAAAGATTTTTAATATCTTTTTATTATTATCCGTTTTTTATTAAGTTAATTAAGGATTTTAGAGCTTTTAATAAGATTTTATTAATATTAAAATACCCTTAATTACGTATTAAAATTATTATTATTATAATATATTTTAATATAATTTTTTATAAAAGGTTTATAAAAAGCGAAATTAGAGCTTTAAGCCTCTTTTTTATTAACTTTTTAACCTCGGCCTTAAGGTTAAAATTATAAAACTAATTTATAATTATCGTTTTTTAAGTTTTATAAAAAAGAGGTTTTTAAGTTCCCTAAGTATTAATATTAGGGGTATTAATTAGAACTTTAATAAGCTAGGGCTTAGAAATAGATTTAAGAATTACGTTTTTTACTATTTTAAAAACCTTATTATTATTATTAATTTTTATAATTTCTCTTTTTTAATTAAAAAAAAACCGTCTTTTCTTTAAGTTATAAAAGCTAGCTTAAGTTATTAATTCCGTATATTTTTTTAAAATAAAGTTTAGTTATTAAAGTATAGTTTTTAAAAAGTCTTTTTTTATAAATAGTATAAACGTCCGCTTAGTTATAATAGTTTAGATTAGGTTATATTATATAAACGTATTTAATTATATTTATAAAATTAGTTAAAAAGAGTATAAATATAGTTTATTAAAATAGTTTAATTTAGTAGTTTAGAATTTATTTAGCTAAGAGCTTAGTAATTTTTTTAATTAATATATTTATTATATAAAAAAGGAGGGTAGCGTAATTAGTAATTATATATCTTTTTTTATTTTTAATTATAATAAAGGGGATATCGTTTATAGACTTATAACTATTATACTTTTTATAGTACTAAGCTCCCTAAGCTAAAATAATAAAATAAGTATTTTTATTAAAAATATACTAATCGTAATCTTTAATAATTTAGTAATATTAATTTTAGTAATATTAGTAACGATCCCTAAGTCCTATAATTAGGAGCTAATTAAAATACGTAATACTTATATTAAATATATAAATAGGGCCTCGAGAATAAATACTATTTTAATAAATTTTAACTTATTTATTCCGTTAGTTAGGTTAGAATTAGTAATATTATTAATAGCCGCTTAAATAACTTAGACTTTTATTATTAATTAGTAATATTATTAATAATTCGGATATTAATACTAAGTATTTTTATATATTTAAGGAGTAAGGGGCTATAATAAGGGCTCGGGTTAATTTTAATTATTTATAAAAAGTAAGCTATATTCCTTTTTATATATAATTATATTAAAAAGTTTTATTTTAAATTTTATATACTTTATTAATTTAATAAAACTATTTAAAATAACCCCGACTTTTTTTACTATTTCTTTTATAATATTAGTATAAAACTACTTATATACGGCCTTAATTAGGCTTTTATTAATTATAATATAAAAGTTTTATTATTTAATAAAAGTAATTATATTATTAATCTTAATAAATAGTACTTAAGTAAAGTTTAAATTAAAAAACGAAATAGGTAGTCTTTTAGTAACTTTTTTAATTTACTTTTCTTTATTTAAAAAGTAATTAATATCCTATTTCTTATACTTTTTTAAAAAAAAATCCTTAGTTTAGGCCTAAGGTAGTCCTTTAATTATATTTTTAATTAAAGTTTAATAATCTCTTTTTATAATATACGTAATAAGTTTATTTCTAAATCGGTCCGGGACCTTATTAATTTTATACTAATCCTCGAACCTTTTTAAAAAATTTATAATATTATTATTTTTAAAAACTATAGTCCCTTTTTAATTAAAGAATAGTATTTTATAAGAACTTATATTTTTTATTAAATTAAGCTAAGGAATTATAAAGCCCTTAGTTTAAAGCGTAGCTATTTAAATTTAAATAGTAATAATATTTAAAAAAGTATTAGTTAAAGTATTTATTCTAATTTAAACTATAACTAGCTTTTTTTAATTAAATTAATAAATAAATTTATTAAAAAAAAGTAGCCTTTTTATTATTTAATAATTTTATAACTTATAAGTCTTAATAAACTATAAAAACTAGTTTAATAAACGGTCTATTTAAAATAAAAAAATTAGGTTTATATAATTAAACGTCCTAAGGGGTGCTAATAATAATAAAAATAATATATTAATTATTTATATTTATAATCCGGGGTTATTAAAAGTATAGTTTATTAATTTTATTTATAATTTTAATAGTTTTATATTAATCTATTTATTTTAAATAGAGTTTAAAAAGGGAAAAGAGGAGCCGTTTTAATAATTAAAACATAGCTATTATCCTAATTAATATAATTTAAACTATTCTTCTTAATCCTTACTAAGTATATAATTAAAGTTTTAATTAAACGTCGTATTAAGCTTATAATAATATTAATCGAAATTATTAATAAATCTAATTAAAAACTAGTTTTATAAGTACCCTTAGTTTAATATATTTATATTTTTAAATAGGTTTATTATTAAGTTTTTAGGCTATATTAATTAATAAGGAATAGTCTAATTAAATAATTAATTATACTTATTAAAACGTTCTATTTATTCTAATTTTAACTTATTATTTATTTTATTATATTATTATAATATTTTATATTTAGGCCCGATCCGGTTTTAAATATCCGCATTCTTTTTTATTTTTTATTTTATTCGCTTTTTAGGGTTTATTATATCCCCTATTTTATTAAATAAAAAGTCCTTTTTTATATATTTTTACTATTACGTTTTAATTATTTAATTACTTTTTTTAAATTAAAATCTTATTGCCCATATTTATCTTAATTATTATACTATTTTCCTTAATTAATTATTTAAAATATTTTTAATCGAATTAGATTTTTTTTTATTTATTTTCTCGTTTAATAAATAAGGGATTTTTAAAAAGCGAGATTATTAAAAATATATAAAATATAAAGGACTTTTATAATATAGTATTTTAAAAAAACTATTAATATTTATAAAAATAATATAAAATACCTCTTTTAATTAAGTTAATACGGCCTTAATTAACGGGGTTATAACTAAAAAAAGAGGATAATATTAACTAAATTAAAAAAGTAAACTTTTTAATTATTTTATATTATTATATTTAAAAATAAATTATTAAAAAGGCTTTAGTTCGATTTCAAAAAGTATATATATAATTAAAGTAAAAATTTATACTATCGAACTTTTATTTTTAATTAGGGCCTTTTTTTTTATATTTTATTCTAATCTACCCTCTCGTAAATACTTATACTTAATTAGCTTTAAAAAAGAACTACTAAGACTAATCGCCCCACCCTATTCTAGTATATAGGACTATTATATATTAATTAATAATTATGCTAAAAAGAAATATATTTAGACGATTTTTATAATTGTTATAGTGGTTTATATATTGAGGGTAGGGTTTTAATCGGGGGGGCTGGGAGGGATTTTGGGGGGGCCTAAAAGGGGGGGGGGCCCATAAGTGGGTGCTTTGACTTAGTCCCAGCCATCCTTGTAATGTTTCTCGTAATACGGCTAACCCCTCTCTCCTTTACCTACTGGGTACTAATCTCTTTAACAGATCCGATATTAACTTTAGTCACAGCAGGTTTCTTCTCATCCTTCTCGTTGACACTTGCCACCGACGAGACATCCGTGTCAGCTTTACCACCTGCATCCAACCCATCAACACTCCCGCTCGCACTCTCGTTGCTGGACGACGTCTCTGTGGACTCTTTGGCCAGCTCATCCGTCGTTACGCCCGAGGATGCCGGGGCAGGACGACCACCGACACGCTCCAGCAGCTCCGCCGGCAGCTTATCGACCACGAGACGCACAAGGTCCGCAATAGACGCACCGCCCGGGATCGTTATGACCGGCACGTCTACGCCCAGCTCCTTGAGGAACCACGAGCGCATCTCGACGGCGACCAGGCTGTCGACGCCCATCTCCACGAGCGGCGTCGCGTCGTAGATGAGAGCCACAATTACCAAAAGTCCTTCGCTGTATAAGAAAAGCAAGCCCCAAAAGATGAATTCGGAGTGACACTTCCACTTTTCACGTATGCAAGTCTAAGTGTACACTTCAGAAGATCGTCACTAGACCCGATTACAACCACGGCGGTGGTTGAGTACAACGAGAGTCTGACCATCCCCCACAAACCTCTTCCTGTCTTCGAGGTTCCAGTCACAGTGGGTGAGACACTACTGCAGGTCCACTGCTCTTATACGTCTCGTTGGACCTGACTTCTCCATCGGGTTCGTCTTCCGGAAGCCGTCCCGTTGAAGCATTTGCCATACGGCTGTCGCAGCAACGTTGCCAGACAAGGCGCTAGTAATGTCAGGCTGTCAGGCTGTCAGCGCAGTCTCTGTCGCGGCTGTAACGATCTCGGTAAACCTTTCGTGTACAAATCATAGTTCCTGCCTGCCTTTTTAGCCGGCCACTGCGAGAGGCATCCTGACTATTCTCGGGAAGGAAGACAGGCGTAGTCGGGCCAAGCCCTAGCTTGTCAGAGACAATGACATTGTCGATCGTTTAAGTCGGTTTTGTGGAATACTTCAATGATATCCTTGATAGACTCCCCACCTTGGCAGCTTCGTATATTAAGAATGACTGCCTTGATGGTATGATCGGTGTTGGACGCTATAACGGGCGAAAATCAGGGCAGATTGGCGTTCTAGTGAGACTCTGAGCAGGCGAACATGCTATTCAGTGACTGATGGGGAGATTCTTTCAGTTTGAAGCTACACATAGTCATGTGCTTGCACTAGCCCATATGCGCGCAACACCTTTTGCTTCGCTACCATAGCTTTGTTTCTGTTGGGACATAAGATGTTGTTTCATCGACTCCAGAGTGTTGCTTCAAGTTTAAGACAAGTTGCTAGAATACAAATACAAACTCTTCATTCTCCAAATCCGTCAAATTGTCGAACGCTCTCGCACCAACATTCTCCTCAGCCTGCTCCTCCCCGGCGGCAGCCATCTCGTGCCCATTATCCCCAGCTATCTGCGCAGCCTGCTCTTGCTTGGCCTTCTCAGCCTCGGCCGCGGAGAACAAACTGGTGTCGATGATGACGGCGCTCTTTCCCATGGCCACACGGCGCTTGCTGTGCGAGCGGTTGAGGAAGGCGAGATAGAGACTGACGAGGACGACAAGCACGACAATGACACAGTAGAGAACGAGATTAGACGTCAGGCCGCGGGTGTATCTGGGTGCTTCAGCGGGCTTGTAGAGCAACGGCCCAACGACGTTGCCAACTGATTGGCCAATGAAGAGGACGGCAGATGTGCACTTTCGCTTGGTGTCGCCGGCTGTGTTTGCGGCTGACCAGGAGTAGATGAGGGGTGCTGGGCATATGTCAGTCAAAGGATATCAAGTTGAGTGAGTGTGGGCTGGAAAGGCTTACTGATTCCCGGGTAGACAGAGATGAGATAGTATCCCACTAGTCGAGCGGCTTGCTGACCGCTGGTGGGAAGGACCATTAACATGACGCAGCCAGCAATGGGCGGGGCGCAAAGCCCGGCAATTACTGGGCCCTTCTTATGGATCTTGGTAGCTATTAACGAGCCTCCGACTGTGGCGACGAGCTGGACGAAGCCAAAGGGAATGTTGAAGAGGATGGTCTGGAAGGAGTCAAAGCCAAAGGACTTGATGATAAGAGGTCCGAATGTGGAGATTCCACCAGACGGGATTCTGCCATGCATTAGTCCTTGTGATTACCTGTACAAAGGGGTGAAGACACTCACGAGATGGAAAAGACGAGTGAGAACCAGCACCACGTCTTGATATCCAACATGCTCTCCTTGAAATGATCCCATCGCCACTCACGGGACATGACACCCTGTTGGTTCATCCGGAGACGCTCAATGGCAATAAGCTTATCATGATCGTTGAGGAACTTGGCCTCGACGGGAGAATCGGGCATGTAGAGAAACATGATAACGGAAAAGACCACAGTGATGATACCGAAAAAGATGAAAATGATCTATTCGGACTAGTTAGTATTTGAGGTGTATGACTGCATGTGTATCGCTCAAGTTGAGGACCTACCTGGTATTCCTTGAGGGGAGAAGAGATGTGTCCAAGGCCGTAGGTAATGAGACTACCAAACTATGGGGTGTTAGCAAAGCCACAAAGGGGCTCGAGATCAACATTGCGTACCATGTTGGTGAAGCCGTTCATGGCATACCAGTAGCTAATTCTCAGCGTCTGCTCACGTCGCCGCCACCACATTTGCGTAATACCCACAAACGCCGGTGCAACACTAGACTCGAACGCCCCAAGAAAGAGTCTTGCAGCCAAAAGCCCACCAAAGTTATGCGCCGCCGCCATGCAAGAAAGAGTGATGCCCCAAAAGGCGACCATGCAGCTGGTGAATTTGCCAACGGGCAACTTGACCAGCAGCCATGCGAGCGGGAATTGCATCACCAGTTGAGCGAGGTAGACGACGGACCCGAGCCACGAGTATTGGTCCCCGACGAGCCCGGTATCCTCGATGAGGCCAAAGACGGAGGCGTAGGCGAGGGTGGACTTGTCGATGCCCTGGAGGAAGTAGACGAAGAGCATCAGGGGAAGGATGACGAGGTCGATCTTGCGCAGGACGCGGGCGTTGTCTGCGGGCGTGACCACGACGCGGTCCTCTGGCGAGGCGCCTGATTTGCCCAGTAGCTCTGCGGCGGCATCGCGGCGGTGGGTTGCCGTTTCTTGGTGGGCGGGTGCGTGTTCGACTTGGTCTACCGGGGCCTTGTTTTGGTCCTCGTTTGTCGCCATGTTGACGGGACTTCTCTGGCAAAGTGTCTCTAGCTGCAAAGTGATGGACTGATTCCACCTCAGGAGCGAAGGAAAGTTACGACGAGAACGCAGAACTTCAATGGAACATGAGAGTAATATGCATGGTATTGGAGAGAGAACCCGGGGATTATAGATATGAGCGGCATTTGTCCTAAACCATGTCGGCTGATACACTGGCTGCGAGTCGGTCGCCGAGAAGGGGGCTCGACAAGGGTGCTAGTAGTTAGTGCGATTTTCTTCAGGCATCGGAACACGGTTCTGGTAATAACGGCAGGGAAACTCGGCCAAGGTGGCTAGCAGGCCGTCCTTGAGCCGCTAAAGGCTTGTTTCCGTAGATGACGCTGAGGGTCAATTTCCCCATTGGCCTTTTTCTTTTTCGTATTACACTGAATTTTGATACGACGGCACCACACTTTGCTCGATCGACTTCTTACTGTGACTGTTGGGATGATGGGCTCGAGTTGACGTCGTACATCATGTCTCTTGACTCGGATATTTCAGCGCGTAGAACTACGTCGTCGGACTACGGCACAGCGCTACAAACACTGGACCTCCACGCCTTCCGCGCATCTCTCAAGACGGGGGCGGTCAACGAGTGCCGTGTCAGAGACACGAGATGGAGACTTTGCGAGGGCGAGTAGCGGGGAGAAACCCGAGGATTGAAGCATCACGAGTGGCTGAAAGGCTTGGTTGTCTCGTCTCCGGGTGGAGGTCATTAGCTGAACTCCACACATGGAGACGAAATCATACTCCGCGCGGGGGAGTTGGGGATTTGTTGGGGGGGAACATTGGGGGGGGCGGGCATATTGGTGCAACAAACTGCCCCAGATTGTGCCCCAGAGTCTCCAGGTTACGAGATCAATCGCGTGAACAATGCGGAGGATGAGACGGGGGGACAACGCGGAGTTACTGAACGGCAGAGAGGAGCTGAGAACATCTGGAGGAGACTAGGACAATCAGACGAGAACTGGGACCGACTATGCGGCAACAAATTCGGAAGTTGGCCGACATCGCCGTCCATTGGCCGCAAGAAGTCCGTCTCTCAACTCTCTTCCGGCTTGTTGCCGTCCCCCGCAGCGGCTCGGCGGTTGTATTTCCTCTTTTGGGGCGGCATTTTGGTCGGCTTCTAACTGCTTTCGGGTCGGCTGATAACACGAGACACCGCAATGATAATCCACCACGAGTCAGCATACTACAACTTCATTGGTCTCGTGCCTTGAGATGACAACGATTATCCAGCTGTTCCCCGTCGATATCCTTGGTCCCGTCTGGGGGATGTGGATTTCGGGGTGGCTTCGGGAGAACGCAGTTCTCGACTCTCCAATGACATGCTTGGGCTAAACGTAACTCGGGACACCATTTGCACGAGGTCAGTGGGTTTAATGTTGTAGTCTTTGACTCGGATGCCGAGTCCGAGTCCTTCTCACGATGCAATTCGCATTATCAGGCGCACACAAAGCTGTCAAATATCTTCCATTTAGCCAAAAGTGAGAAATACTGCGACATCGGAAAGCCTCAAACTTTAAGAATAAGTTCGTCTGCACTGCTCTCCCACAGATTAGGGTCCCTCCTCTCATTCTCTACACAAGCAACATCACAGCTCCGCCCTCATTTCCCCTCATTGTGCTAAGAAGGGCACCCGGAACCCAACTCAGGCCAACACCTCAACTCAAAGAAGGTTGGGAGTTTCGCGCCGGCATTAAGTAATTCAAGATGCTTCTCCAAAACGAAAAGATTCCTACCGGCTATGCGCCTCAAGAGGTCAAGGGTGCTGCTGCTGCATCGTCCATACAACTCAAGTCCTCAGAAGGCCATCCCGAGGACTTCACCTTCACATTTGAGATCGTGAGGTCAAACGTCTTCCGCACAACCGTCACGTCTGAGACGCGCCCTATCCCCCCTTTCCCCAGCGCACACAAGCCAAGCGCGGACCTGGTCCCGAAAGACATCCAGATCAAGACATCAGAAAAGTCACAATCATTCACAACCTCCGACGTTAAGGCTGTCGTTGAATGGTCAAACACCCCTATCATCTCCCTCTACGTCGGCCAAGATGACTCCGGCAAGCCCATCCACGCCGATCTCCCCTTCCGCTCATACGCCGCGGACGGGCCCGGTATCGCCCACTACTCCTCTTACAAGAAGCATACTCTCCATGTCGGACTCGGAGAGAAGGCGGCGCCCATGGACCTCGCCGGCCGCGGCTTCATCATCTCCGCAAGTGACACATTCGGATACGACGCCTACCGCACGGATCCGCTGTACAAGCACATCCCGCTCCTCATCAACGTCACGCCCGAGGGCGCTGTCGGCATCTTCTCCACAGCTCACTCTCGTTCGACCTGGTCCATCGGATCCGAGCTCGATGGCATGTGGGGTGCGTACAAGGTGCATCGCCAATCTCATGGCGGTCTTGAGGAGTACATCATTGTCGGCAAGACCGTCGCCGAAGTCGTACACTCGTACGCTGAGCTCGTTGGATTCCCCCTGCGTGTACCGCGTTACATGATGGGTTACATTGGCGGCGGCATGAAGTACAGTGCCATGGACACCCCGCGTGCCCACGACGCCATCATGGGATGGATCAAGAACTGCGAGAAGCACGACATCCCATTCTCTGCATTCCAGATGAGCTCTGGATACACTGTAGCTGAGCAGGAGCCCAAGACGCGCAACGTCTTTACGTGGAACTACCACCGTTTCCCTGATCCGCGGGCCTTTACCCGCGAGGCGCACTCCCACGGTCTCCGCCTGCTGGCTAATGTAAAGCCGTATGTGCTTGCCACGCACCCGGCGTACAAAAAGTTGTCCGAAGACGGCGCCTTCTTCAAGGACCCCGCTACCGGAAAGACTGCGGTGACGAGACTTTGGAGTGCTGGTGGAGGTGAGAGCGGAGAGGGAAGTCACCTGGACTTCACCAGTAACGCCGGCTACCAGTGGTGGTATGATGGCGTCGTTGGCCTGAAGAAAGTCGGTATCGATGTCATGTGGAACGATAATAATGAGTACACTGTGCCGGACGACGAGTGGCAGTGCGCTCTTGAGAAGACGGACATCATCCCGATTCCCGATGGCCTCAGCCGCAAGGATGTCGGCATCTGGGGTCGTGCCATTCATACCGAGCTGATGGGCAAGGCTTCACATGATGCAACAATTGAGGGCAAGCCTGAGGAACGCCCCTTCGTTCTCACGCGTAGTGCCACGGCCGGAACCATGAAATACTGCGGTGCTTCATGGAGTGGTGACAACGTGACAGCCTGGGAGTCCATGAGAGGCGGAAACTCTTTGGCCCTCAACGCCAGCTTTTCCCTCCTTCACGTAAGCATTCCCCAAAAACATATTCATCTAAACTCCAGACTAACAGGTCCCCAGTGCTACGGTCACGACATCGGTGGCTTCGAAGGCCCCCAGCCTACCCCAGAGCACCTTGTCCGCTGGATCCAACTCGGCGTCCACTCCCCACGCTTCGCCATCAACTGCTTCAAGACCAGTGAGGCAGATAATCTCATCGGCGGCGTCATCGAGCCATGGATGTACCCTACCGCGACGCCCATCATCCGCGCCACCATCAAGCGCCGCTACGAGCTCGTGCCCTACACCTACTCCCAGAACCTCCGCGCCCACCACACCGCCGTCCCGCCGCAGCGATGGACCGGGTGGGGTTATGAGGCTGACCCGGAGGTCTGGACCAAGGCGATCAAGGACGGCGATACGCAGTTCTGGTTCGGCGATGCCTTCATCATTGGTGGTGTTTACGAGCCTGGTGTCGATACCGCGAGGGTGTATCTCCCGAAGAAGGGCGACGGTAGCGACTTTGGCTTCCTCAACACAAATGCGCCATATGAGCACTTTGAGGCGGGTAAGTGGCACACTGTGCTCTCGCCTTGGTATAACTCCATTCCCGTCATCGCAAAGATTGGCTCGGCCGTCCCTGTTGGCAAGCCGCTCGATACCTCCTCGGTCAAGGAGACGGATCCAGAGTTCCCGAACCAAGCCAAGGATGACTGGCGCGGCGTGGAGATCTTCCCTCCGCCTTCGCTGCGTGGAGCCGCTGCTCAGGGATTTGAGACGGAGCTGGGCGGTGATGATGTGAAGGGCGTGGTTTTCGAGACTAGCTGGTACGAGGATGATGGTATCAGCCGCGTGGTGCCTGCCGAATTCAAGTTCACGATCCGATATGAGATTGTCGATGAGCGGATCTCGGTCGAGGTTAAGACTGTTGTTACAGAAGGCTCAAAGGAGAAGTGGAGTCCTCTGTGGCTCGAGAAGGGCGTTGATGTGCTGCTGCCCGTGGGAGAAGAGAGGACTGTGGTTGTGAACGGAGCCGAGGCTCAAGAAAAGTCCCTAGATGCCAGGGGCAGGAGAGTATGGAACGTGCCTGTTACATTGTAAGAGCTATCCATCTTCTTCGTTCCAACGGGATACAATATTGCAATATGAATTATGACGGCCCTTCAATTGATGCTGGTGTCCGGGATAAATCACTCGTAAAATCAATGCATCGTCGAACCCGAGAATTGGCGTCTCAATTCAGTTCACATGTTTGGAAGGGATAATCCCACGGGAAGGACAGAATATATTTACGAGCATCTTAGTTTTATTGGGGGATATGTAATGTGGTATCAATGTTCTATGAGCCGAAGCACCCGTTCTAGCTCAGAATCACCCTTCCCAAGTAACTATTGAGTACCTTTGTTGAGTACTTAGCCAGCTTCATGCTTGATTAATCCAAGTTCATCTCTCAAAGATGAGCGTCTGCAGGATTACAGCACCAGAAGACCCCTTCCGATGTAATCACTCCCGATTCATACCTGTGTCGATGTCAATCCATCCAATGACTCGATGACAGCAGATCTGTGTAGTTGGGACACCGGCCCAGTGTATAGTAGGAACACGAGCCTAAGCTATGAAAGGGACACGAGCCCAGTGCCGCTAGCTGTCGTAGTTGATGTGTCCATTGCATGTTGCAATGTGTGACGAGCTAGATGTACAGCGCCTCCAAGGACTTCAGACCAGAGAAGACGGCGCGCCATTTGCCGCTACGCTTCTTGCTCTTAGCCTTGCAAGCAACATCGATAGTGCGACGAGGGTCTTCGTAACCACTGTACTCAACAACAGCGTGCTGGATATTCTTGCACCAGGCTGATAGCTCAGATGAGACGCTCATTCTGTACAAGGGAGCTTTCATGTGGAGGACGTCAATGGTTGAGTTGAAGGAGACTACATCAGTAAAGCGAGAGGTCTGGCGGTTGTGAACCTCGATGTCGAAGCCCAAGCCCTGGTCGGTGTCCTCCAAGCGAGGCATGCGGACCTTCTGGCGGATAGAGTGTGCGATCTCACGAGACAGGTAGTTGATGTGATTGTCGATGGCGTTATAGTTGCTGATCGACTCCTCTTTGCCCTTGAGATGAAGCTTTGAGATTTCGCGTTCCTCTCTGTCCAGTCTGTTGCCGTTACCCTTGATTGGGCGGCGGTAGTCGTGGATGACTGCGTCGAAGTGACGAGGCTCGAGGTAGAACTCCTTCCAGATCATGACTTGGATCTCGCAAGGGAACCTGGCGAAGTAGTGAAAGCTGTCTGTTGGAGCTTGAGCTTCGACCTTGGCTTGGCCTGCGGCTTCGACTTGAGTGTCGGCCTTGGCCTTGGCTGCTGTCTTGAGATTGGTCATCTCGCTGACAGTGGAAGACTTCTTTGTAGGCTTGTTGCAGCGATGAGCACACATTGTGAATGTTGTTTGTAGATGAAGAGGAATTGGGTGAGTGGAATAGTGGGTTGTTTAATGTGGAATGCTCAAGAGACGAAGTCTGAAGAATGGTATATGTAGGATGGATGGATGAATGGTTGATCTGCTGGGAATTAGAGAAGGGGAAGGCTTCTTTTTATGCCCTCTGACCGGGCGTCTGGCGGAAAGTTCATAAATCTGGGACCCGACCTTGTCTATTAGCTTTCGGCCTTCCATGGTTCGGAACTGCGCGTGAGTCCATTGATGGCCGCCAGGCTACCCAGGCCAACCAAGATCGTGGGCAAACCACCCACGATTGTCGTCCAAGTCTCTTCCATCAAATTGAGATCAAAGGGGTAGTAATGACATGCACATTTCAGATACTTGTGCAAAATACTTATGCTATCGTTTAGATCATGAGAGCAGTCCGATAGAACGGCTCATAATCTTTCAACCCTAGAATAATACCAATTAAAGCTCATGATGCTCTCTATTGAAACTTCCTTTCCCAGTTAGTCAAATGATCGTTCGAAGTACATAAGTAGATGCTCTGGATTGTCCCGAAAACTTGGTAGGTTCAAGTGAACTTCTTCTAACCGACTTTCCGGTAAATCCTCCAACTGAATGTAAGCTACGACGGAGTTACCTAGAGATTGGAAAAGTTAGCTCCCTAACTTGGGTACATCGATACCTTTTGCATTCCACTGAACCACATCGGCCTCGAATCTAGGTTGACAACCGAAAGGTTATAGCTTGGGTTCACCTTTATCCCTTATCCATACTAGTGTCACATGACGCATCCATATTTCTTTGGCTTTTGCGTTGCCCTAGACGCTGCGTATGTTCCACTTTTCTTCGTGATCAGAACCTAGCCAACGGAGATTGAGACGACTATAGTGCTCGCATGTATTCAGAAACCTCTTTGGTTCCATAATCCAATCCATGTCCAAGTCTGCAAACAGCATACTCTCTTCATCTTCCGGGAGGTCCTTGGAGAGTTTCCTTCCATCAGATTTGTAAACTGCACAGCATCCACCGCTCGGTTTGTTGCATAGCTGTCCAGAAAGTGTCTGCATCTTGTCAATCGTTTTTTGTGTGAGAACATCCGTACGGCGCAGCACGAAACATGAACCTTCAACCACGTGAGTTCGAGACATGCTTTGTTGTCCTAGTCTCGTGTCAGCATCTCCCTCACAGCAGATGTGACGCAAGTATCAATCAGTAGCGATTGGAGCTTTAATTGCTTTCCCGAACCCGCAGGCAATTGATTGTTAGCTTATAAATCGGGCGTTTGCTTTTCAATTGCCGAGAGTCCGTGGAAGCGGGTGGAGAATCCCCCTCATGCGGGTTTCTTTTTCTTCTTTGATACATTATTATCCCAAAACAGCATGTTTGAGCCGCTACAGTCCTTTTCGCTCGATACTGTAGATATGCCATCACTCAATTTGCTAGACGTGGACTGCTCAATCTTAGTTCAATGTGTTGGAAAAGTCAGTTCGAGTTAGAATATCCATGAAACATTCTCCTCGGGCAAACCTATGTCCATCCTGCGGCTTATGAGTGAAAAGAGAGAATGGTTATTACAAGCTTGCTACTTAGGGGACTAGGTCATAACGATTCACGGGGAGGAGATACCCTTCTTCGCCATAGTCTGTTTGAAGGCTTCCAGAGCAACCTCTGGTTGATAAGCAGGCACTTCATGACCCGCCTCATGAACCCTCAGCCAACTCAAGTTCTTGATGTTCTTGTACTCGCCCATCTTCTTGCCGTTCATTGTGAAATCTTTCATCTCTGCCTTTTCGAACTCCTCACCCCCGATCTTCTTCGCTGCGTTGTAATTGCCAATATAGTTGCAGATGAAGTCTATGGGCGATACTCAGCAATGTTACAAACATCTCAGAAGAACATGCCGAGACTTACCAGCGTCACCAGACCAAATCAGAACTTGGACATCCTTCTTTGTGATATCTTGAAGCTTAGTGAGGAAAGATCGCTGACCTGGTAGCAGCTGAGTCAGCTTCAAATGTCGTTAATTCGCGTTAAGTACACTTACCATCGCCGGTCGAGGTGAACTTATCGTATGGTGCTTGAGGGCACTCTTGGTACTCAGATTTGGCACCGATCGCCTTCATGACCTCAGGCTTCTTGATGTATGCCTGATAAGTGCCAGGAGGGAATTTGTCGTCTGCGGCTCTAACATCGTACACGTTAAAAGTCTTAGCTGCTTCGATGGGTGCTTCAACGGCTGCATAGCACGCATTCTCAGCGGCCACGCAAGCTTCGTTCTGTCCCTCAAGGCCAGTGCACTTTTCCATCGCAGGCTTGCAATCCTTCTCATAGGCCTTAGTGAGCTCATCAAACTTGGGCTGGTCGATGATCTTGTTGTACGTGTTGTTCACCGCATACTCCAGGTAATCCTTGTATTGGACGACTGTCACGCGTTGTCAGCATCCATCATCTCAACTTGCGTCAACGCCGTGAAAAATTCGCATACCTGGGTCGATCCATCCGTTTCCGATACCGAGAGCGACAATCTTGATCTTCTCCCCTTTGACAGTGCCCTTGTCGATAGCGTCATTCTGAGCCTGGAAGTGATCGATGAACTCCGGGCCGTAGTGGCCGCCGTAAGACTCGGTGAACAAACCGAACTCACGGCCCTTGTAATCGGGAAATTTGCTGTAGAAAGATTGCATCAACGCCCAGACTTTTGGCGCGGCCTTGACGGTGCTGTCTGTATCACTCGTGCCGTAGCTGAAACCGGCTCCGATTGGCTGATCCACATAGAGCTTTGATGAGCATGCTGCCGTCAGCATGGAACATGGGGTAATAGCATTGAAAGACAATGTGAGTGTGCGGAGACAGCACGGTAAGAGGACGAGCGCGGTTGTATTAAGCTTGTGGGGCCGTGTCAATCACACACCGGGACGGACGGAGACTCACCATATTGGCAACATTGTTCCATGAGTTGGGGTTCAGAATGGGATCTGCGCCGGGGGCCTTGTTGAAGGTGCATGGCCCGTTTTCTTGGAAAAGGCCGAGCATGGAGCTGCAGCCCGGACCACCGTTTAGCCACAGAGCGACGGGGGCCGTATTCGCATCTTTGCGAGCTTCGAAGAACCAGAAGAACATGTTTTGATCGGTACCTGCGGTATCTCGTCAGCATCTCTGGCGTCATCGCAAGGATGGTGAGAATTGAGGTGAGGAAGAAGACTTACCGACGTCGAAGTAGCCAGAGTATTGCTTGACGCCCTTGGTCGTCTCGCAGATTCCCGAGTCCTGGACGTATCTTGTTCTAGAGCTCGTCGCCGCATGCTCATAAACCGTGAAGTTCGTTCCCAAGTCAGACATAAGGCTGTAGGTCCTGTCGACGGAGTAGCTCTTGGGCGTCGCCAGCGCAACACTAAGGCTAGCCAGGCCTAGAGTGGCCACAGAGCAAGGAAGCGCAACTCTCATTTCGGCACCGCTGCTTCGACAGATTGGTAGAGACGGCAAAAAGATGTAGGTGAAATGATACCAGATCGCTGCGGGAGTGAGCAAAGCTCTGGTGATGCAGGAGGTGGCAGGTGGACGGTATTTGAGCTCAGCACGATGTGTGGAAGCACGGGTTGTGGAGGGTGTAGCGCGGGGACGCCAAGTAGGACAGTCTTAGCCGATCTACGCAAGTAGAGTTCGTCGTACGGGCACCTCCAGGCTATAGCAGCCGCAGCTTTTGTTACTCAATTACTAGATAGGCAAAAAACACGCGTTCTCGGAGTCGGAGGTATTATTAAACAGCCAGAGTTGCTTCAATACTACGTAAAAAGAAACAAAGTCTGTAGGCTACTGCAGCGCGCCGATCGCGTCTGTCGGCAAACCTGGTGTAAAGTTCTCGGGAGCCGGCAGCTCGAGTGGATCCCACCGAGCGGGAGAGACCGCAGTTCGAAGGGGCATCGCCAGCTGGGTACACCTACAGTAGCAGCTGCGCTCATTTTTTCCCTGTTTGATGGTGAGTTGTGCAGTAACATGCGGCCGCCCGTGGTGTAGCCTCGGCCAGACTGTCTCTCAACTCGTCGGGTGTTTCGTCCGAGCGCCCCATCTGATCATAGGGAAACAAAGTCAACATTAGACACTGTTTCGCTGGCGAACGGAACAGTTCGCTTCCCAAGATCGAGCCTCATTTCCAGAAGAGAGAGCGCTAAATTGTTCGGCAAGCTTACAAAACAGATAACGAATACCCACTAGAGTCTAGAAACCTTTGAGTCGAAAGAAAAGAGCGTTCAGAAGTAAATTGGAGATGTGAGATGAGGTTCCGCAGAAGAGTCTCGCAGGAAGTTAAGCCCCTGGCGGCGATCACCAATCATGAGAGCCAACGCTAAATTACGGTTATCTGCACATGCCGCCTTGCGGCATGTTCTCTGAAATCTGTATTTTAATTGGAAGACGCCACGTTTTAATGCGAGGAAGATCCCTACGAGTTCCAAAAGTCAGCCATCACAGCCGTCTCCTTTCTGACGTTTAGGAGTCCTTGGGACGTTCTGAAATATGCTGGGTGAAAACTTGATCAACAGCGTGCGATGCCTAGTTGAACCTTCGTGGGGCACCGGTGGTAGACTTTCGGAACCCTCGAATCCGTCCAGTTAGAATCACGATGAGCTAGTGAAGTAAGGCTGGCTGGCACCCACGCACCGAAAGCCACGCGATCTCAACAAGGTCACGAGTATCGTAGAACAAAACCAGGGGTTTATTACAGTCAGATATTATCATTACTATCCTTCTCACATACCGTATACTAACCCCGTTTCATGTACTCATGTCATGCGATCGTCGTAAAAATATTTACAGAATGTGCAGATCTAGGTCTCAGACCTTAGATGGCTTTTCTTGGACAACCGGCTGTAAGTCAGACTTTGCGATGCTGTTCCTTTCACTATCGCTGTCGCGAGGCACGACACCGTTGTTCTCCAACTCGGTGATCCTAGCAGTCTGTTCGCCTCGCCAATCTGCTCCCGAGTCAGTTTTCCGATCTTGGTGTCGCGTTCTGTAATATGTGGTGATGAACTTACGTCTTGACTTCCAAGCTGGTACGCCAGCAGCAAACATCTCATCAATCTCCTCAAGAGATTTCCTAGACATCTCGGGCATGCAGAACCAACCCCAGACCAGGCCGCAAGCTGAGATCGACCCGTAGATCAGGCCGACCCGGGAACCAAGGTTCGCTGGTTCCTGCAGCAAGTAAGGCAACGTGAAAGTTGAGATAAAGTTGCAAAGATTAGCAGTCAGCCAGAAAAGCATGACCGACTTGTCTCGAAGTGTGATGTGGGGAATTTCGGTCTTAGTAAGCTGCAAACTGTATAGGATGTCAACAAAGTTTCTTAAGGTCGCTATGCACGTTGATGAGGGTCAACTTACGGGCCTCCGAAAGACACGAAGTGGAAAATGGGAAACATCATCGTCAAAGCAACGATGCCTTTGTTGATATCAACTGTCGGGTGCGCAATCGTACCCAGCCCACCCATGACCATGAGAACTGCTGTTTGCATGAAGCCCATGTACAAGAAAAGCGGGCGGCGACCGGCCTTGTCGATGATGAACATGAAAGTGATTGCGGTCGCAAGCAAGAGGCCTCGCTTGACCATAGTTGCCATGAAAGGGTCGATGACCTTCAAGCTCTTCAAGAAGATTGTGCCGTACAAGTTGGAGAATGATGCACCTGAAAGTTGAGCCAGTGCAGCAGCGATGAGGCCGTTGACGGTACGACGCTAGACTACGCATTAGCGGATAAATTGTACCGTGGAACAAGTTACTCACCAAGTTCGTGCCCTTAACCAAGTCTTTCCACTTTCCAGTGGTCTCGCTCGTGTTGAGGGCTTCTTGGAGAAGCTTGGCTTCCTTCTCGGCGTCGTAGTTCGGCATCGCTCCGTAAAGATAGTCCAGGTTCTCAACCGCCTTGGCGTAGTTCCCCTTCCGAAGAAGCCACCGCGGGGATTCGGGAATCAAAACCCAGAAGAACAAGGAAAAGGCCGGAAAGATGAAACCAATGCCCACGGGAATCTTCCAACAGTTGTCGTCCTTGATCTTGCTCGTAACATCGGTGATAATCGACGCAATGAATGCTGCGAAAACTCCGTTTACACCGTAGATAGCTGTAAGTGAGCCTCTAACCGCTGCTGGTGCGATC